TTCCATTACATACACACACACACACACACACACACACACACACATACATATGTGTGTGTGTGTGTGTGTGTGTGTGTGTGTGTGTGTATGTACGCGCCACACATCTCTATCCATTCATCAGTTGATGGACATTGGACATTTGGGCTCTTTCCATATTTTGGCTATTCTTGATAATGCTGCCATAAACACTAGGGAGCATGTACCTCTTTGAATCAGTATTTTTGTGTCCTTTCGGTAAATACCTAGTAATGCAATTGCTGGGTCATAGGGTAGTTATATTTTTACTTTTTTGAGGAACTTCCATACTGTTTTCCAGAGTGGCTCCACCAGTTTGCATTTCAACCAACAGTGTAAGAGGATTTCTCTTTCTCCACATCCTTGCCAACATCTGTTTTTTTCCTGTGTTAATTTTAGCCATTCTGACAGGTATGAGGTGGTATCTCATTGTGGTTTTGATTTGTATTTCCCTGATGATGAGTGATGCTGAGCATCTTTTCATGTGTCTGTTAGCCATCTGGATGTCTTCTTTGGAAAAGTATCTATTCATGTCTTCTCATTTATTTTTAATATTTGTTTTGAGAAAGAGAGAAAGCACCCACATGCTTGCTGGAGTGCAGGAAGAGCAGAGAGAGAGAGAGAGAGAGAGACAGAGAGAGAGAGAGAGAGAGACAGAGACAGACAGAGAGACAGAGAGACAGAATCCCAAGCAGGTTCTGTGCTGTCAGCGCAGAGTCCCACACAGGGCTTGATCTCAGGAACTCGAAACCATGACCTGAGCTGAGATCAAGAGTCAGGTGCTTAACCAACTGAGCCACCCAGGTGCCCCCTTCTGCCCATTTCTTAACTGGATTATTTATTTTGGGGGTGTAGAGTTTCATAAGTTCTTTATAGATTTTGGGTACTAACCCCTTATATGTCATTTGCACAAATCTTCTCACATTCCATAGGTTGCCTTTTAGTTTCGTTGTTTCCTTTGTTATGCAGAAGCTTTTCATCTTGATGAAGTCCCAAAAGTTCACTTTTGCTTTTGTTCCCCTTGCCTCTAGAGATGTGCCTAGTAAGAAGTTGCTACAGCTGAGGTCAAAGAGGTGCTGCCTATTGTTTTCCTCTAGGATTCCGATGGTTTTCTGTCTCACGTCTAGGGTCTTTCATCCATTTTGAATTCATTTTTGTGTATGGTGTAAGAAAACAGTCCATTTTCATTCTTCTGCATGTTGCTGTCCAGTTTTCCCAACACCATTTGCTGAAAAGACTTTTTTCCATTGCATGGATATTCTTTCCTCCTTTGTCAAAGATTAGTTGACTATACAATTATGGGTACATTTCTGGGTTTTCTATTCTGTTCCATTTGATCTGCGTCTGTTTTTGTGACAGTACTTTACTGCCTGGATGACTACAGCTTTGTAACAAGATCTGGTGATTTCCTGAACGTATGGGAGTCTTCAGGTTTTGGCTCCTGGTCATTCAGCCTCTTTAAGGAAGTCAAAATCCAGTATATAACATTCATTTCACTCCTTAAATTCAAGATTGGGATTTTTGAAGAAAAGCGTATTTTCCTTTGGACTGCCCAAAATGTTAACATGAGTGAAAGTTAATGTATGACCACAGGAAACAAAATATTTAGAATCAAAACACTGATGTAGACCACCTAGAATGAATCTGGAATACTGAAAAATCTTTGCAAACCAGTACCTTTACATTTAAGCACTTTTGAACTTGATGCTCCATTTGTCTATGACCTAATTTCCTTTTTGCTTTCAAAAAATGAAAAACTCACCTGCACAAGCCTTTCCAGGAAGAGGATGGGTGGAGGTGGTGGGGAGGCACTAGTTACCTTCCTATCCCATGGGGCAACTAGAAAGTTCTATCAACTCCTTTTTCCCGGAATCAAAGCTTAAAGGTCCTTCAAGTCCCAGCTCAGATGTCACTCCACCAGCACTGGGGTCCCACTTCTGCTCGGGACAGGTTTCTGCTCACAGCCACCGCCGCCCCTCTGGCCGCTTTCCACACCTCCCCTCCAGCGCCGAGGCTGGAGGGCGCCAGGTCACCCCGCCGCCGTCCCGCCCTGGCGCCAGCGGCTCACCTACAGGGCGACGTCCGGCCGGCACCCCGGCTGCACTGCAGCCCGGTG